TAAAAAGCAGAACTCATCAAAAGTGATTCACTATGAAGAGATTATAATCTGACCATTTTACTGAGGTGATACATTATTCATAGTTTACAATAATTCTTTTTTTTTCCTAATATATACAGTCAGAGATTTTTTTTATTATTATTTTTAAATAAAAAAGTAGTAAAACTTATCCAGCATTTCCTTTTCATTATTTTGATGACAATATAAACCTTAAAGGTGACAAGACAATTATTTAAAATATAATGTGACTGAGTGTGAATTATATATGCCACAGTTGCAGTGAGGCTTTATCAGTTTTGTTGTTAATGGCATTGACATTTGCAGTGACATCTCGAAACTCAGTAAAAGCTAATACTTGTGCACTAGCAGCCTGTTCTTCTAAGTAATGTGGAACTGATGATTTGAGGAAAGTGTCTTATTAAAACTTTACAACAAAAATGTGAAAGGAGAAGATATGGCAGTTATGCTGCTTCTTTCAAATAAGATGTTCTCTTCAACAAGAATGTCCCGATTATGCTAATATTAATAATGTGTCAGTATCTACGGGAATGTTATCATTCCAAAATCTCCCATTGGCACTGTGAAAAAATGCTTAATGAAGGCAAGTGATGGCATTTGAATTTGTGACCACCTTTTTGTTCATTTGTTTTCTTTTGAGGGAGCAAAATTTCTTATCCTCTGCTGGTAGAAGTAATGACTAAGGTCTCAGTAAATGAAATAACCAGAAATATTAATAATTTTTCTCTCACTTTCTGCTTAATTTCTTTTAGTGAGATCCACATGCCAATGAAAGTAATGAGAATATTGCCACTGATTTCAGAAAACTATGTATCAGGAACATTTTGCATTAGATAGCAGTTTGTCATATAATCAGTTTTATTCTTTCCCTGGGGAACTCAATTTATTAGTCATTTTCTTCTGCCAGTGTGGGTCTTGCAGCCAGTGACAGGAACAATGGCAAATATAAAGTAATAAAACCATAAAAACTGTCAGAGGCGTGCAGATGTAATTAAATTATTCCAGCTCTTTAAAATAAAATCTGATCCAATATTAGGTTGTCAGTTTGTGTAATCAGTTTCCAGTTTATAAAAATGCACCACAGTCTTAATCCATAGGTTTGCTTCAAATAAGTAAATGGAAAGATACCCACTTATTTCAGTGAGCTTTATATCAAGTCCTCATTACTTTGTATAAAGTTCTGGGAATAGTCATCTCCAAAGACTATAAGAATGAAACTCCAGCTCACCTCAGAATATTAGGAATTTATTTTCTCTAATTTATGAAGCTTCATGCCATTGAAGAAGGTGCCATCTTTCTTCTGAGGAGTGGACATAGATTTTCAAATCACATATTTCTTTCCAGTGGTTCCAGTACCCATCAAGTCTATGTATGCTATGATCTTAGCTGAAGTTATCATACACAGGAATGAACTGGTATGACAGACAGCAGATTTCATCCTTGGGAAGAACTGAAAGTGTTGGCTTCTTCACTGAAAGACTCAAAGTGAATTGCTAAGTTATTGTCTCTTGATTCATTCTCAGCATTTATCACTGCTAATCTAAGAAATATTTTACTATTTTATATGGTTAGCATGCCACCAAAAACTAGTGAATGTTAAATGATAAGCCCAGAGAAATAAGACTTTAGCTGTACTGTTATATGAGCAATCTGTTTGAACAGATCAGGAATAATTGATGAATGGTGGAAATTGCTGTGAGAGCTGATGCTTTATAACCACAGTGAGGATTCGCACACATTCCTTGTAAAAATGAAAACTGATATAGATTATATCTCAATACTGAAGTGGGACGCCTTATATAAAATATATGTGTGCTTATACATACATATACACACATATATATGTACATATAATTGTATATATATAAGATAGAAGGATAGAAATAGAGACCAAGTGAGCAAGAGTAAGAGGTCTTTCCCTCACGAGGTATAGTTTTGCCATTGTTCTGCAGTCAAACTAAGATATTTTTTTTCTGGAGTAGGTAAGAGCTTTCCTGAAGAGTGGAATAAGATAAAACAGTCATATATGTACATTGCATTATATCTGTATGGTCTATCATATCTACATATGGTTTATTGTAATATATAGATGGTATACATATGATAAGAATATATGACATAGAAGTAATGATTCATGACAATAGTGTCTTGGTCTTCTGTGCTTTCCTATGAGATATTTATCTGACACTTTGCTTTCTGGAAAAGAGTCACGGGTATACAGTATTGCATATAATCAAGCTGCAGAAGGTTTTCTTGCATTACCTGTAACAAAGCTAACCATTTGAAGCAGGATGCTTCTGCTAGGGGAGGAAAGAAAAGCAAGATTCACATATGCAGAGATGGTGTAGGGGCTATCTCAGCAGCTTCACAGGAGAGGCTGAGTGTGTCCCAGCTACAGCCGGTTGCTGGGTTTGGGTATCATGGCTCTGACTCTTCCCTCCCTTAGGCATAATCTTGATCTGACAGGACAATAGCGTACCTGTGCCAGCTGGACCCCAGGAGCCCCTAATATAAGAGGATCTTATCAAACCATGGGAGTTAGGAGTAAAAGCCAATCTCACATTGGCCACCTCAGTTCTGCATGGTTGCGTCTGAGTCACTGACTGGTCCAAAATTCTGGTCTGCAGTTCTCTCACTAGCCTTTTGTTGCTCATTTTTTCTTGGTTCCAGTTAATTTCTGTGTATTTTCTTATACTTCCTATCAGAGGTGTAACATTTTCTAGAAAGCAGCTGGCAGCAAAGGTCAGGTATCTGACTGGTGGCCATGGAAGTGGCTAATGCTGTATAAACAAAAAAGAGCAGAAGCCACACTGAAGATGAGTTTTACCTGAGGGGATAAAGTAGTCAGGTATCAGCAAGACAGAAATGCTCTAAATAGCTGGAGAACACCAAGAACAAGGATTTGGAACATGAGAAGAAGTAAAGGGTCAGCTGCCAGAGCACCTGGGGAAAGGTGGAAAAGTGTAAAGAATGAACGAGAAACTTGTAAAGGGGTGTATCCAGTGCAGAGGAACTTCAGGAATGCGTTTTCTGCATTCAACATATCTTCATCATTCAAAACAAGTCTTTAAATATGGCTTTGACAAGGAAGTGGGTGACCTGTTTTAACAGGAATGGAAACTGCATGTCCCTCAGTAGGAGAGGAAATGGTAAAACATTTCAAGAAAACAAATTTATAAAAAGTGGTAGATATTGTGAGAAAATTTCAACAATTCTGGAGGACTGAACTGTATTAATTTTTCATTCCATGGCAAGGGTGGAGGAACCAGTAAATGAAATTAAAAATACTATAAAAAGTATTCCTTGATATAAGATATTGCCATCTGAATATTACTTTGTATATTGATTTTAACTGGTCCATTTTGTAGAGATCAGTACAAGCAGCTTCCTTAATTTATAATATTTAAAACCAAGATACATGGTGAAAGTAGGATTCACTTAAATGCAATTTAATTGAAAAATATTCCTCTGAGTCCTTCTGGAGGATGGAAATGTTGGAACATAAAGTAAGGATTATTGTAAGAAATAACATACTAGAAAAAGGTGAGTCAAGTAAAATGAAACAGTATACCAAATGTCATATGTTAGTAAAAACTGTATTACAAATATTCTTTTCTGAGACACCAGTTGCAAAGCATAACAAGGAATGAAAATGTACCATAATACATTACTTGAAAAGGTTCATTTAAAAATCTGAGCTAGTATTAAGCAGTGGCAGACTACTTAATAGCACACAATTCTCAAACCATAAGAGCTTTAATATATTAATGAGGTGAAGTGTTGAGTCCTGTTGCTACTAGGATATGTTATGTTTGTGTACTTGATGCAAATCTGGAGAAGCTTTTTAAGCAATTGATCTGTGCCTGTAAAAAGCTACCTGAAGTTAACAAGATTGTTTGTATGTAAAGAAGAATATCTGATGTCTAATACAGTGGAGTTTCTTTTTGGTTATTTTTTCAAGTGAAGATGCATATAGCTAGATGCTGGATATGTCTATTGGCTTTTTATGTTATTTCTGCCCTACTTCAACTTTCTGTATCATTCTCTTGAAGTCTCCTGGGTATGCTTGGCAGTTTGATTATATATCATGTGTCTTGAAAATATTACTTGCCTTCTCTGTTACTGGAATATTTGAGTTTCTTGTATTATCAATTGCTGTTAAAATGAGTGCTTTTCCCTATTGAAGTCCATAGGATTGAATAGTAAATAATACCATTTTCTCCTCACTCCTGTTTCTTTTTGGGTAGATTTACAGAGTTCTTTGCAAAGGACAATACATCTGTTACTTTTGTGAGAGAACTTAGCTTGTATGCAAGAGATATTTCCTAAAAAACTTTCTAGGTTTCTAGCAGTTTCCATGAAATACACTTGATTTCAACCCTTTTAAATTATGAAGATATATACCATAAGGTTTTGTTTAGAAAAGCTGAGGTGGAGGCCAAATTGCTTGAGGAAACATAAAAAGATTAATGATTCAGCTCTGCCTGGCTCCCAGATTCTCACTTCCTGCATCAGTGTATCTGAGACATATCACAAAGATGACACATATTGACTCTGGGGAGGGAGCAGTAATTATTTGCCTTATTATTTTCCATGTCAGGCAAGTAATAGAGCAATATTGTGCCAGCCACTGAAAGAATAAATTTCTAGCTTGTCTGTCCTTCAGCTTGAAGGACTGTTGTACATTTAAAAGGCGGGTATATATTTGGAAATTAGGACCTTACTGCAAAGAACAAAATTATCTAGATGATCTTCTAGATTCTACTTTGAATCAAGACAACATACCAGGAAGTACAAACAGTTATCATTTTCTGCATGAATGCCCTTCCAGAGAAGTGGCCTATGGATCACCAGCCCCAGAAAAATTATTTTGATCGTGGTGTTCTGCAGTCTTTCTCCCACAAGGTAGAGCAAAGGTGTTTAATGTTTGTTTAGTCATTCTCAAATGTCTGTACATGTTGCCTTTGTTGTTTGTTTCATAGATCTATTTGCGATTCTTGGACTATGAGATGCAGAATTCCAACGAATGCAAAAGGAATTTTGTAGCTGTCTATGATGGAAGCAGCTCTGTGGAGGATTTGAAAGCGAAATTTTGCAGCACTGTTGCTAATGATGTAATGCTGCGGACGGGTCTCGGTGTAATCCGCATGTGGGCAGATGAAGGCAGTCGAAGCAGCCGATTCCAGATGCTCTTCACATCTTTCCAAGAACGTAAGACCCTAATTAACGTGTCCGCCTTTCAGTTTGTTAAATGATACAAGTCCCCAAAACTGTTAATGTTTTCTCCATGCAAAGTAGTTAATGAAGAATCTTCCCAAACAAAATATATAAATAGTCAGAACAGTTTTTATTCTGAGCATTTATAGTATGCAATAATTTGTAATGCAGTAGATAGAGCACAGGATTCAGTGACTGGAAGACAGGTTTGAGTAGTCACAAACTGTCCAGTCATATGACAGTGGCTTTTATCTGATCCCAAGTTACCAGGTCACTATGTCTCAGTTTTTCCTTAAGCACTGTGAGATATAATACAGCTCTGAAGGTTTTTATCAAGCCTGACCATTTTCTATGAATTTGATTTTTTAGATTTCATGATGGGCATTTGAAAAATACCTTATGATTATTTTATGACAGATGATGGGTGTGGTTATGCATATTCCAGAATGCCTATATCAATAAACATGTATGTCAGATATTGTTAAGCAAAGAATTTAGTTAATTTTTTGTAATAAAAGAAGTTTTCTAGAAGCCTTACATGATATTTTGGTTAATATTCTCTCTATGCACCTTGCCTGCATTTATATGTTTATATGATTTCTGGACTCAGATAATAAGCAAAACAGCCCTTGAAAGAAACAGAAGGTAGTTCTAGCAAGTTTAAAAAAACCCAAACAAACCACAAAAAAAAGTCAACAAAAGCCAATAATGCCATTCACTGAAAAAGATGGATTCAGGTAATCACGTGTGAAAGGTATTGATGTATTTTCTCTGATGGAAATAATGCATATCTGGTCCCTTGAAGAAGGATTATATACATGTATTTTCATATGCTGATTCATGTTAATTTTTAATGTATTTTTTGGTTTGTGCATCACAAGTCTGACGGGAAGATTTCTGTGCAACTGTCAGTGGTTGGAATGAAGGCACAATTGTACTAAACACATTCTTCATCTGTATTCTGTGTGTGTGTACCCTGCAATGAGGCAATGAGACTCTGTTGAGAACAGCCTCCGTAATTCCTTAATTATGGCTCTGATTAAAAATTTCTGACAGTCTACATGCCTGAAACTGCATACACCACTGTACTCTCCATACTGCAGCCTTAGGGTGGATTCTATTTTCCTTGTCTGTAAATCAGGACAGGATCTAAAAGATATTGAGAACCCTCAGTTGAGAAGATACTGCCCTATTCTCATTTCTGCAACTGGTGATGTCTTGAATATTCAAGATCTGATTCATTTTTTTCACAAGGCATCCTGATCTGTTACCTTAGAAACAACTGCATAGACACTGGAGGTTCAGAGCATATAAAGAACTGGAGAGTGAAGCACTATGATGACTAACTTGAAATGAAGGTTTGAATAAGTGTGTGCTTGCAAGGCTTTCATATTTTAAAGGAAAAGAAGGAAAAAATGTGTTTTTTTCTCTTATAGTATTTCTAATATGTTTACCTGACATGCTACATCTTATGAGCTACTCCGTTCTTGTAAACAGATGATAGTTTATACTGCATAGTATTCTGACTGGGAAATTGAAAATACTAATATGATGTGTTTTCTGTAAATTTATTCTGAGCAGTCATGGAGTGATAAAAGCTGAAAATTGATTAAGGGATAAATTGTACTTTGAAATATGTATACATGGTCTGCTCATAAATAGTAGAAGAAACCGCATCTGTATTTTTAATGCTGGAAATTGACTTTAAAGATTTAAAGGTGATGCAGAAAAGTGCCATGTCAGTTGTCTGTCCGTAAGTGCCGCCCTATGCCGCAGACTGGTGCTGTCTGTCAGGAGTCAGCTAGAGCAGATGTCCGGCATGCACACTGCAAGACACAGCTCAGAGCATGTAAACTGCAATGTCTTTCAGCAGCGTGTGGGAATAATTAGATCATCTGCATGGAAGAGAAGGAATGTCAGACCTCATTCAGGGAGATGTGCATCAGGGAACAGACACCTGTGTCTCTACTGACTACAAAGAAAGAGGAAAAAAGCTGTTTTCTTCACCTAGAGCTGAGAAAGAAACAAAATAGTTGACATTTATGTTGTGGTTATCTGTGTGGGAAAGACTGACAAAGTAAAATTCCCGTATTTACTGTTGCTGTGGGAATGATCAGGAGGTGTCATGACCTGTAGCTCCCCAAGTTCCTCTGCTTAGTGTGGAGTTAAGTTGTTGAGATTGTGAGTCTTCCCTTACACAAGGCTCTGTGAACTGGAAGTGCTTTTTCTGTGGGAAGAGGTTGCTTAGCCCGATCAATGTTTTCTCTGTAAGTCAGTTCAGTGTTAATTCTTATTATAGAGCCATTTCCTGGGGACTTGACATTTGTGTAGAACAGAAAAAGCTTAAAGAGATTTCTTACATGATTATTTTCATATGGTTTAATCAGTGTACTCCAATTAAATATGAAATATTTTTTCTTATCATGTAAAAAGTGCTCTTACAAGTTTCCAAACCTCTAGCAGTGATTCCCTGCAAAGGAGCAATGCTATAAATATGTTGGAAGGAAAGACATACAATGCAAGAAGTTGTTAAATTTCCAAACCAGAAAATCAGTAATGATTCTCACATAATCAAAACAGTAGTAGATCTCTAAGTAACACTTAATAACCGATTAATTCTTAATAGCTGATAATTTAGAATGAATATCTGATCTTCCACGATCTAGATTAGTATCTATTCCAACTAGAATTATGGGGTTTGTCTGCTTATGTCCTTACCTTTCTAATCTTTAATATATCTTCTGAGCATATATATCTAATCATATTTTTGTGTATGGTAGTCACTGCTACAATAGCTTTTAAATATCCAATAAATCAGTTTAAGAATCAGAAAAAGGAAAACAAGAAAGCTAGTATAATCAAAAGGTATCTGTTCATCTGGTAAGAAGATTTGAAAAATGAGTCTGTTTTTTCACCCGCTGACTAACTGTTCATTTAATTTTCCATGACTGTGAGAGTGATCTCCAGCCTGATTAATGACAGACGTGTTACACCTACAGCTTATTCAGAGAGCTGCTCCTGAGCAGACACACCTACACTTTAACCTAAAAGCAGATTCGTAGAACCAGGGCATATGGGACAAGAGAAAATCCCTCTGTATGCACAGCAGGCAAGATGTTCGTTCTGTCACCCCTGGCTGCTCTTTGCTAGCACAGCTTCCTTCTCTGTCCATAACCCCGCATCACAAACTCCAGACCAGACAACTATCATTCCTTCTCTTATTTTGTTACCCCTTTGACATCTAAGTCTGTTGTTAAAGCCCTGTCATACCTGGCTTTCCTAAAGAACACGAGTTCTATCATTCTTATCTTATTTTTAACAAACCCCATATTTAGATGGAAGTCTAGGGCCATGTTTAGAACAGTGCACAGCTTTATCAAGTAACTGCACTCAAGTTCCTTGATCCCTGAAGATGATCACCCCAGCATGGGCAATCCTCTAATGGGGAAAAGACACTGCAGGTATGCAGTGTTAATGACTGTGTTTATTGTGGTAATGCAAAGGGAACTACTGAGAGAGGGAACAACAAAGCGATAAGTGCAACATGTGAAAAGATGGTTGCCGTCTGCAAGGATTTAGGAGTGTAAATAGATTGCAGCTTTGCTGCTTTTGCTCCCTGCTTCCACACTAATATATAAAAAAAGAAAACACTAGGATTGCCTCCTTACTAGTGAGCACTCATCTGTGATTTTCTTCCCTGCTGTGATATTTGCAGCTATCTCTAGTGAAAAACCCTCACTGGCTGAGCACCCCGATGTCTCTCTGACCATGAACAAAATATCTGTTAGTTGTGTCTAGAGTGTGTAAACTGAACACAGACGAGCTCTGAGCACGTGCTCCTGAGCTGCCATTCTGTGGTGAGTTCTTGTATCATAAAAAACCCATGAAACCACACGGAAGTGTTTTTTAAAGACTAGATTGTTGATGTGTATCTGGTATTGCCTATCTGTAGAAGTTACATTTATCTTGAACAGAACTGTCTGAAGGTGGCTGAGCAAGAGAATTCAGTATTAAGTACATTTCATTTTCAGGTTTCTAATAGCTGTGTTTTCATAAGTTTTCTTTTTTCATTAGTGACAGATGAAAAGATAAGTAATTTTACTTTAGGTAATATACTTGCAATGTACAGTACTAAACCTATTTTAATAATTTTATAATTTAAATAAAGTAAGTGAAGCAGTCTGTCAGCATGACCGAACTGTTACTCGGACAGGTTGAGAGAAAACTTCTTCCTCTGTTTCAAAGATGGTTCAAAGAACATCTGAAGAATTTAATTTTTCTTCTCTTGTGAAGGCAAGAAAGCTTTATTTTTCAGTAAGGAGCAGTGGGAAAATCCAAATGATCTATCCTTAAAGAATTTATGTGCAGAGCATGATGCAATGAGCTATCTCGAGTATGTGGGGAGTAGGTGTGAAATGTCTAAGGAGTTCAGTGTAAAATATTTCTCACATCTAACCATTGTTAAGATTTCAGAATTTTCCCATTCACTCTCAGGAGAAAGCAAGACCTCTAAAATACATTATGACAAGAAGGGAAGCGAGGAAGAGAGAAAAGCCTAAAACTATCAAGTAGGGTAGGGCATTCATGTAAGATTAGGGAGTGCCAGACTGAAATCCCTGTCTTGAAACAAGCTCAAACAGTAAATCCACGTGATTCAAAGAAGTACGACAGAGACACCCAAGCTAGCTTGCTCAGTGCTGGTTCACCCCCCAGGAGCAAAGGGGTTGAGCTAACTCTGTGCGATGCTGAGAAGCGGTGTAAATGCACTGGCATGGAACAGCCAGGCTTCACACCAGCTCCCTAACACTTTTGACTTCATCTTGTAAAAATATTTTGACCTGGCTGTGTTTGCATTTTATACCCAAAGTATCCTGCAATGTCCAACAAACCGATGCTCAACAGACATACAGATAATGTAATTTATTATTAATGTCACAACATCACAATAGTATAATAATTATTAAAAGCACACAATATTTAATTGCTAGAGCGCT